GTCATGCCGCGCCGCACCGCGGCGGCAAGGAGAAAAAATGTTTTTTTTTTTTCGGTCGGTCGCACCGCGCCGCTACGTGCCGCGGCTGGAAAAATAAAAATGAAAGAAAGGTGTGTCGTCCCCATGGTCGGGCCACGGCCGAGAGCTAAGTGGTAGGCTAGAAGCCTAGAACTATATAGATCTGTTGGGTCATTTTCTCACTAGAGCTAAGTGGTAGGCTAGAACTATATAGATCTGCTGCGTCGTTATTTCTGTCTGTCTTCTTCTTGTTCTTCTTCTTCTTCTTCATCTCTCCCGTTGCTTGGCCTAATGTGTCTATCACATGGCTTGCTATGTTGCTTGAGTTTTACTCTACTGCGACATACACACAGTGAACCAGTGGGGGATGTTCACCCTGCTCGTGTGACTGCGATCGCACCTATCTTCATTTTGTCTTCATTTGTCTTCATTTTGTTTCATTTTTCATCCGTCTCACTTCTACTATCTATTCACCTTGCCATCTTCTAACCCTACCGATCTCTTCTCCTTCTTGCTCTTCCCTTCCCACCTTATATACTCAGCGCTGGTTTCAAGGGTGGTACGGCTTCTGCCCGTTAATTCTGTTGTGAGGAACGTGATAGTCCCTAGGATCTCAGAATGGCGTTTGGGAGTGTATGTCACTTCTGTCAACTGCCTGGCCACTTTAGTAGGGAGTGTCCCTTCTGGTACCAGCCGGACGGAGCGGAGATGGCGGCGCGCGTCTGTGATGGCGGGGCAGCTGGGCCGAATAGGAACGACTCCAATGGCATTCTGCCGGCACCACATTAGGGGAGTAGCGCTTCAACTTCGAACGCTATCGTCCCGTACCAAGGGCCGCAGAGGAGCAGCTATAATGGTAATAGTGGAGGCTATAGTGGTTATGACGGGAATTATAATTCGGGAGGAAGTTATAATAATAATGGGCAGCAATATGCGAGGCAATGGAACAGAGGATACAGGGATTGAAAAAAGGATCGGGACGAGAAGATTGACAGGTTGTATGGTCTCTTGTCGGATCAAGTAGAAGAGAGGGAGCAGTGGAAGAGGGAGGCTGTTTAGTTGGAGTTGCTTGAGGAAGAGAAAAAGAAACTTCAGGCGGAGGAAGAGAAGAAAGTACAGGCGATCAAAGAAAGGGAGCAGGAGGAGGCTAGACTAGGGAGGATAGTCAGAACAAGCGTCAAGGCGCTTTGTGAATCGGCCCTCGGAAGGAAGGTCAACATTCCCGAGGACGAGGATGGTGAAGTGGCTAAGCGAAGAAGGGAATTGGAAGACCTACGGGCGACGAGTTCGGTGGAGACGAGTGCCTCACGATTGGAGGCTTTGCGAAAAGAGAAGGGGACTTTGTTAAGGATGACAAACCAAGAAGGTAAGGAGGAGCGATTGCTCAAAGAAATAGCGGAACTGAGGGGCAGAAAGGAACCTGGGGCATCGACTGAAGGGAAACAGGATGAAATTATGGCACTGCAGCTGCAGGTGAAAGAGTTGAGTGATTTTCGTACCGCTCTGGAGCAGAAAAATGCCGAAGTTTCTGCTCTGAAATCGGAGAATAGTCATCTTAAGAAGGATTTTTCAAACTTACGAGAGGATTTCATCCTCCTCAGGAGTAAGAGGAACGCAGGAGCTGTGACTGAAAGCATCCCACCCGAGGAACCCGCGAAGGGGAAGCCGCGAGCAGAATCATCTACCATGGCTATGTACACACCGAAGGACATGGAGGCTCTTTGGAAGGCTTATAAGGATGCCTTGGCTGGGAAAGAGATCGCAGTGAAGGAAGCGGAAATGTGCAAGGAGCGCATGGCGAGAATGGGTGCCTCCATATACGATTGTCAGCTCGAAGAACTTCAGTGAGAAAAACAACACCGCGAAATCTCAGGACCAGCTTCCAAGAGGTTGAGGTCGTGTCGGATGATGAGGGGAAAGATTTCGACAAGGACAAGGATAAGGGGAAGACGCGTGATATAGTCGATGTGGCGCATGATCTGGAAGTCGCGAAGATGGCGGGGTTTCGAGAGATCCGATTGAAAGAGCTACGGCAAGCCAAGAATGCGGACATGGAAGCTGCCTGTGCGGATGAAGGCATCACGTATATCAAATTAGATCAGGCCAGGGCTAACGTGGCTGAAATCCGGGCCAGCCGGGACTATGCTGCATGGCCGAAGGAGAAAGAGCCGCAGGATGAAGAAGATCGGGATCAGCAGTGTACAACTTCCAATGAGGACGTTGAAGAGGAGTGAGGGGACTCCCTGAGCGTGTCACAGCTTTGGGAACTGGCCTTATTCTGTCGAGATTTTTAGGAAGATTTGTCGGTTGATCACCTTCAGTATGTGTATAGACTGGTCGTAATTCTGCTTATCCTGCAGGGAGAAATTTCGTGGTGCAATAAGTTCTATAATTATGTTGTTGCGCTTGTTAATAAGAAATTAGATTTTACCTCTTGCCCTGGTCCTATAGTCTACGCACTGGTATCGCCTTGGTATCGACATGTATACGTGGGGTGCACTAAGAGGTCGGTCAAGGAAAGGTGGAAGGAGCACATGGCATGCATGTTACCGCTTGGAAGTGGGAAGGGAAACAGGAAGTTGTATAGGTGGTTGCGTAGGGTGGGAATCAATTCTTACGTTGCAATTCCGATTTTTGTATCATCCGAGCAGGATTTGTTGGTTTTGGAGAAATTCTTTATCCGTTCTGTTTGTCCAGCTCTTAGTTGTGGACCTAAACGCGGTCGGTCTCGCGCATCTGGCCGGCCAGGCAGGAAGGAAAGATCGAGGATTAAGAAAAAGCATGATGACGTCTCTGTCCTCCCACCTTGCTGTACAGTGGCTAGCTGTAGTAACAATGATTCGGCCCCTTTCCTTTTTGTTTCCTCCCTTGGTCTCACGTCAACCAGTCTAATTTCCATCCTAAAGCAATCTGATGAAAGTAGACTTAATTCTCCCTTCTCCGTCACTGTACTTTCAGAGTCTCACTTTTCTAAGAAATGGAAACTGATTCGTCGTTTATTTGGGTCATCCATCGCCACTACCATCGAACTTCCTATATCCTTGCTGAAACATTATCGCTCCTGGTTTAAAACAGGGTCCATTATTACCATTCACACACTGTCACGTTTTTGCTCTCGCGCCTTACCTCTAAAAAATTCCCTAATCTGTCTTCTCGGTTCTCCCTCTTCCAAGAAGAATCTCCTCCACTTCAACCTCGATGATCTCGTTAAACTGTACGATGCTACAAGAACGGTCTCTTGTAAACGATCACGTACCAGCCTGAGGTTAATCTTATCCAATGTCTGTCGACAAAAATTCTCGCTGTCCCTTTCGGCTAAATTAGTTATAAGAATCAGGTTCGATAATACTTTAGTTAAGGATAGGTTGTGAGATGTATGTAAGAGCATTATTTCTGGTCTGGATTTACCTCCGATATATCGGGAGCTTGTGTATCACCATTTTAGGCTGGTCTGGACAAAGAATCGTAGTGTCGGAGATATAATCCATAACTTTCGTAAATATTCTGCCGTTTCGGATCCTGTTTGTTCATGCGTGGGAGTTGAGGAAATTTTTCCACACAAGGATGGCCACGTGGCTTTTCACTTCAGCCAAGTAGATTTTCTTCCCTCTTTTCTGGATAACTCCAAGGATATTACTTCCCCGAATTATTCGTATAGCAGGGTCTAGCTGTGTGACCAGGTTAGTTCATCTTTGTCCAAATTTATTGGTAAGGATGTTGGCGTCTCTCCATTACTTTTTTCTGGATGTTTTTCTCAAACCGAAGGAGGTTGTAGCTACATTGTGGAAGATGAGGTGGTTCGGTACAATCAACGATTTGAAGGTCTTGTTCTCTGTCCGTTAGATTACTATGCAGGGGATACCTACGCCTGTTGTCCCATTGTATATGCTCAAAGGTTGATTAAATTGTTCATAAATAACCCAGGTATGCAGGTTTTGTCTGAAGAGGAAGATGCGGTACTAGAGAGATGTAGACAGAAGTATAAGTTGGCGAAATTTCATCGAATAGCGTCATGGGCAAAGGAAGGGAAGCTAGGTCGATCATATGTGGTTCCGAAACATACGGACGTCAATAAGTGAAAACCTATTTGTCCCTCATGGTCCGAGTCATCGCGTAGGGCATCCAGGATTGTTTTTGCGTGTGTCAACGAGTTCTTGAGGCGCATGCCCCTACTTAGTCATTTTAATTTATGCAGTACACATCTGTTACCTGCCTTTCTGAGTTCGGTTAATAAGGACGTTCGTCCGGAAGATGGGTTGCTGGTAGGAAGTTTTGACGTAAAGGAGATGTTCTGTCAACTTCCTCATTCGTCGATTTTGAAAGCGGTAGAATAGGCGGTAAGTCTTTTTTAGGAGAAAGGGTTTTACAAGTGTTTGATTCAAGGTCGCAAAAAACAGATTAGGTTAAGTAAAGTTGTTGTAAGCGAGGTTGGTTTTAAGTCTGTTAAATTCTCCTTACTGATCAAATATGTTGCTTATGATTTGTCGCACACTTATACCATGGCTATGAGATCGTTGATTAAGCAAAATCTAAGAATCCCGATGGGAAAATCATCAAGCCCAACACTTGCTTGTCTTATGTGTGTCCATAATGAATTCACTTTTCTTCGTAGTCTAGGGAATGACGCTCGTTTAGTTAGAGGTTGTAGACTCATTGATGATGTGTCTGTTTTCATTAGGTATAAGGCGAATGACCATGCTTCTATGGATAATGCGCAGACGATGCTTCGTAAGTTCAAAAGCTCTTCTTACGACGAACATTTGGTGTTAGAAACCACCAGTGATGGTTTAGATTGACCATATTTGGGTTGTCGTCTATTGGTAGGGTTGCAACCGGCTAAGGTTTATTGCCAAGCTTTACACAAGAATTAAGAAGTTATCTTACATGGGGGGGATATTATTTTTCGCAATTTGCAAAATTTCAATTTGTTTTATAGTAAAAAGCAGAAAGTTGCGGTGCTAACTTCCTTCTTTCATAAAGCCTATGATATGGGCACACTTCCGGCTACAGTGGCTGCTTACTTGTTCAGTTTAAAGATTGAGCTGCGTAGGAGGAGTTTTCCAGATGCTATGTTTGACAAGACACTTACGGTTTTTAACATTAAGATTGGAGGGGCATGGACCCATTGGGTCCTTTGTTTCACGAACTGGCCCGTTGAGTTAGGCGGGTGATTTATTCTTGGCTTCCTAGGGTCCCGGCCTTTCCTGACCCTGTTGTTGGGTCCTTGTTTTCTATTTGGTTCCAATTTCTCTTTGGCCCCAGTTGGGTCATTTTCTCACTACAGCTAAGTGGTAGGCTAGAACTATATAGATCTGTTGCGTCTTTATTTCTGTCTGTCTTCTTCTTCTTCTTCTTCTTCTTCTTCTTCTTCTCTCCCCTTGCTTGGCCTAATGTGTCTATCACATGGCTTGCTATGTTGCTTGAGTTTTACTCTACTATTACTACTACCACGGCGGAGATGTCTCAGTCACACCCAAGATTGGCCACGGCCGAGATGTCTCGGCCACACCCCAAATTGGCCACGGCCGAGATGTCTCGGCCACACGCCAGATTGACCACGGCCTTGATGTCTCGGCCACACCCCAGATTGGCCATGGCCCAGATGTATAGGCCAAACCCTGGCCGTTGCCCGACCATGGTGGTTTTTTTTTTTTTTTTTTTTTTTCCCAGCCGTGGCACAGCACAGCGAGGGGCAAAAAAAAAAAAAAAAAACATTTTTTCCCCTTGCCGCCACAGCACGGCACAGCACGACCGACCGAAAAAAAAAAAAAACGGTTAACGCCTTAATAAAACCTCTGCTCTTACACCACTGTCGGCCTCAGTTACGAACGCCTTTTCGAACTCAGGCCCTAACACAGACGCCGATGCCTGTTTTTTCTGCCCATTATGAACTCTCATGTGACATAAACGTAGTTCCCCCAAAAATAAAAAACCGATGCTGACAAGATTGTTTCGTCGGAGCTGCACCGACTCGTTAGGAGGCCGAACCCTCGACAATCTGTGGGAATCTCCGCATTAGATGGTTTGGGTCATGAACCCTTTGACCCTTGTTGAAGGCAGACTGTCCCCAAGCGGAATATAGCAGCGGGCGGCGAACCTGTGGAGCACCAGGCAGCACAGTAGAGGCAACAGGGCTGCACGACGCCAAAAACAACTTCAAGGAAAGACATGGCACGCAGCAGAGAAACACGGAAGGCACGGCAAGAGGATGAGCAGAAAGGTAGAGGAGCAGTGAAGCGCAAGGCAACACCAACAACATGGCCACACCACACCGTGAACACAACAATACGCAGAGAGCCATATGCAAAGCTTGCAGGACAGGCAGCAAGGTAGCGGTGGATCGCAGACGAGGCAGTCCGCACATCCAACACAGAGCAAAGCACATGACCTACTCACATCATGGTTGAACCGCACACTGCCCACAGATTGTTGGTTCCCACCACCCAGTGGCACCCACTGAGCCAGGGAGTCACTCCGACGACCATCCATCATCACCCACAGGCAACATAGGCATCCCGAACTGAGCGGCCCCCCTAAGAGTGCAGTTGGCACTCCAAACGAGGAACCACTGACTGTTTGGCATTACTTAAGGGTGCTAAGTTTAGGTAAGTAAAAGTACTTGAAAAAAGTTCGAGGAAGAACAGACAACAAGAGGAAAACAGACAGACATAAAACTGATTGTGTGTGTGTGTGTGTGTTATACTGTACTGTTACGATCCTGGTCATTTCCCAAGTGCAAATTCACAATGAAAGACAATGCCACCCAATTGCGAAAGAAATGAAAGTACTTGCAAAGAGATAGAAACCAAAGGAGAGAGAAAGAAGAAGAAGAAGAAGAAGAAGAAAAAGAAGAAGAAAAAGAAGAAGAAGATATGCACCAGCAAGACCAATGACAATTCCCCCTTCTCTCTCCACCTTCCTCCTCCTCCTTTACTTTGCCAAGCTTATTCTTCTCCCAATAATAATAATAACAATGAATGGATGGACCAGAATCAATATCCGAAGTTCCCTCTTACTGCTGACTCAACAACAACAACAACAACAAGTCCACCATAGCTATGGATTCCCTCCTTCTTCCTCCTCTCACATGCCTAGGCTATGGTGGACTGCTAAGGGTCATGCCCTCCTGTCCAAAGGACAACCCAAAGCAGCTATGGTGCTGCACTCTTGTCCAAAGGACAACCCAAAGCAGCTATGTCGCTGCTGACTGATCCGCCATGCCTGACTCTGCCTCGAGCTTCCTTGGTGCAGCACTACCCCAACTGGGGCCTTCCAGATGTAGCGC